TACAAGTAAAATAAAGTCAAAGTGCAATTAACAAGCCAACTCAATTGTCAAATTAGCAAACATACTAATGTTTAATTAAAATGTAACATTAGATTAGTCACTCTTTATTTCATAGAAGTATTTAAAGTTTATTTAATTATTCAACAAGCATTGAGAAAAAAAAATTGTAACACTTTTCTTTTTGGTAATACAAATTTTCATAAAGAAGATTTTTGGTGTCTTCTCGTTATGTTGAGCATTGAAATGGGCACAAGAAGACATAGAGATTTAAATTCGTTACATAATTTTACTCCCTTTATTGTCCTGTACCTCCTCTATTTTCTTTACTTTGAACCTTCTTGTTTTCAAATTCTTCATCAACTAAATATTTAATTGAAAATATAAATATAAAGCATGAAAATTTATTGAATCCCGAGCAAAAAAATAAAAATGGAGGATGGAGAAAATAGAAACGAGCAATATGAAGAGACTAATTTAAAATGTCTACCCTTTGCATTTAGACATTAGTAATCCAGGAAATTAAAAAACTATTATCAAAACTAGAGAGAAGTTTTTGTGAGGATATTTCTATTTTTAGTTGAAAAAGTCCCACGCTCAATCAACAACGTCACAATAAAGGTTGAATGGATGACATTTTGGTGTTGATTGAAAAAAGTTCTATGACATATTGATTTTTTTTCCCCTATAAAAACATAGAGTACATTTGATTTAGATATTAAAGTTTTAGATTATTATTATTGTAACTTTGAATATTATTATTTAATAGAAAACATATTTTTTATTTAATATTTATAAGGGTCCCATATTTGAAGTTGGCATAAGGCCCCAAAATTCTCCAGGCCGGCCCTGATTATGATACATAACTTTCCATCTATTTTGAAGACTGCTGATACCCAATTACAAAATTTCATTGAAATGTATTGTGTTGAACAACATAAAACTGAGATTGAACAACATAAAACTGAGGGTTAAGCTCTTTCAATTTGAGAAAGCTAGATATATTTTTCTGGTTACTTAATTTAGAAGTGTTGTTTTAATTATATTAATATAGTTGGGAAATGAGGTCTAATGAAATGACTAAAATTAAAAATTTTACAGATCCATTTAGATTTTCATAATCAAAATGTTACATTTGAGGACATAATGATCCTGTCTCCTATTCTGTCTTTGGTTACTTAGCTTCGCGCTCTCTTACAAAAGAGTTGTGGGAGAAATCAACTCTAAATTATTGACGCACAGAGCCCAAAAACATGGATGGAATAATTCATGGATAGTAGCAAGGGTAGAGTCAGCACTCAACGAGCCCTTTGGCTGCCCGTGCTAGCTTCGCCAAAAAAAAATCTCTTTATATAGGCCATTGCTCGATGGCCGCTCGAGTGACCATCTAGTGGTTGCCTGTTCGCACCTAAATTCTTGGATCTGCCATTAAATGGTGGGAATGAAACTAGGCACAACCCATTTTTGACTCCCTGCTTGTACATTTTGTCTTTCCAACATTTTTGGATGATAAGAAAATGTTGTCATGACCCAATTCTGTTGGCTAGAGGCACCGTCTTATCACTTGCATTTGTTGTTTATGTTGGAAATCAGGTTCCCATTTGGTAACTCATTTCGTGAATAAAGTTTCACACAATCAGTTTATGCATACCTATGCATATACCATAATTGATTCAACGGTAATTCAGGTTCAGTTTCCAAAACTTTTCTCATTATAGAGCCACAGATAATTCTAGACATGGGAAGCCAAGATTTGCTTGATGACATGAAGTAACTAAAGAAAGTAAAAAATTAAAAATGAGTTGATGACACTCCTAGCAGCCCTTTGTTCATGAATTAAAAGGACAAAGAAGATATGGTATAGTCGTGGCTGGTTTGAAAGAATATAGTGCCTGCAAGTTTGTTTGCTTAGATGCACACTACACAGAGCAGAATCTTTTGCATTCTGTTGCCATGCAATTTGGCTTGGTTCAATATTTTTCCGGTGATCGACATAATAATTATTGACCATACCATACTATCCTGTCTTGAATAAACTCAATAGGGCCTGTTTTGTCAAGAAAATAAAATTATGAAAAACAAAATTAGGCGTACTGATTCTTCCTACAAATATATGGATATCAGTAAATGATGTGGCAGTAAATTTCCCACTAAAAGCAGTTGTTCAAAATAAAAATGTTAGATTTCTTTATGTGTAACAACAAAGAAAGACTATGCCCCTGTTTGAGCCCCATATTTTCCCATTCTTTCCTATTAGTTTTTCTACAGCAATCTTTATTAAAATAATATTACACGCAAATAAAAAAAAATTCCTTCTTTTTTAACTATACATTTCCCATCAATTTATTATTCCATAATACATTACAAGAAATTAATAGGGCTCAAACAGGCCTATACCAAAAAACTGCGATAAAGAAAGTGACAATGGAACATATGTTCAACTCCATTTCAACTAAAGGAAAATGGGGAAGACAAAGTTTTGTAAAACTTTTCCAGTACATAATGTGGTTATAAAGCAAAGAAAAAAAAAATCAAAGGGAGAAAAAAGATACATAAATTTAGGATATCTTTGATAAATATGAGTGATGTTATACATTGTACATAATGTTGTACAGATAAATGACATGGAAAAGAGAGAAAGATTATAATAACTAAATTTTCTTTTCTTTCCTTCTCCACATCTCCTCCTCCCTTACCTCCATTACATGAAGCAGTTCTTGCTTACTGGCTATCTTGTTTTTCCATATGGACGCGACCTATAAGCAAAGCTACTCTACCCATTGTGGTCAGTTTAGTTAAAGGTACAAAACTTGCACTTTCACCTGCTGTTCTTGTTGACATTTATAGAAAATTGACTACAGTAAAAGGCACCTTTGATACTTCAGAAAAATGTAAAACTAGACGAGGACAAAAGAAATCTGTTGAAGTAAAGGTCACAGCCCCATTCCAAATGGTGCATGCTTGGGTTTGGGAGAGATTCCAACATATATGTCCCAAGCCCAATGGGCTTGGCTTGGTGGGTCAAGATTGCCTCAATGGAATGGTGTAAAAGAAGTGGGAACGAAGAAATTAAAGTTTTATTGGCACTAGATGGTACTAAAGAAGATTTAATTTAGCGCCCTTTATAGACCATGCAATTTGGCATGGATCAACATCTTCCATCTAGTGTAATGCGAGAGAATGGAAGTGCTAGATTGCCAGAAGTAATTATACCAGGGAAATTGGGGATGTCATACTGTACATACCAGCGCGACCTTTTGAGTAAGATGCTACCACTCACGGTTGACATGGTTGGATAAATTAGTGTTCTCTGTAAGTCCTAGGCTTAGTTCCAATGGAAGTGAAGAAGGCTTTGTCAAAATTAAATCTGAGGATGAAGAGCTTTCTCCTCCTCCACCTGTTTTTTCTCCCAAGCATGCTTGGATGGAGTTGAATTGATTAAAGGTGACAGCTATGAAATATCTCTCTCCCTCAAGTTGAACTTTGCGGAATATATTTTAAAATTCCGTATTAGCGCTCTATAAAGTTAATATTTGGGTTCACAAATCTAGTTGTCAATCATTTATGCAGTTCCCATTGATGTGTTCTTTGTTCCAGTTGCATATTTCAGTGTTAATTTTATTTCACATTTGTCGTCACCTGGCAGTAACAAGATACTTCTTGCCTCTGCATATATTTTTTTCTATTATGACACATAACATATTAGATTTTCCATATGTTTTGAAGCCCTGCATCATTCATGAGACTGGTGTGCCCAATTAGAAATGGACAACTTACAAAAATACCCTTAAAATCAGGAGTCTTTTGAAAAATTATATGAATAATTTTTTTGAAGTAAAAAATAGTTAAAAAGTGATACAATGTCACCGTTTTTATAAAACATCTTACTTTTTAATAAAATAAAAAGAGACACAATATTACTTTTAAAAGTTAAATCACTACAAGAAAAATAGTCTTTTACAACATGTAAATGGCAACGTGCACCAATTGTATGTTGCTAAAAGGGGTTTATTGCAACATTCACCAAATGCAGGTTGCCATTGGTTGTAAAAATTAAGATTTAGCAACACTCATTTAGTGGTTGTTGCTGTTACACCCTTTCGCAACGTTCATGGACTGTTGTGGTTTTTTTGTTTTTGTTTTTGGCAACGTGCAATGACCGTTGCTGTAGATTTTTAGCAACGTTCTTTGAACGTTGCCATTAATTATTTTTGGCAACGTGCATTACCCGTTGCTAAAATTGAGTAACGGAAACGTTCAAAGAACGTTGCCGTTACTCAGTTTTAGCAACGTTCATTGAACGTTGCTGTTAGTTTGTTTTAGCAACGTTCGTTGAATGTTGTCGCTGGTTTGTTTTAGCAACGTTCGTCGAACGTTGCGTTTAATTGTCTTTGGCAACGTTCTTTGAACGTTGTCGTTAATTTTTTAGTAGTAAATTCAAGATTAATGACGCAGAACGGAAGTAAGAAAAAAATAAAAGATTTACCAACGTAAATCTTGAAAATAAGAAAATTGGAGTTCTCCAAGAATGAACCTTGTATATTATTCAATCCTCATGGAAAACATTCCAAAAGCCATTAAATAGCGTTACAAGAAACCCTAAAACATAGAAAAAATAAAACGTTCCAAAAATGGCGAAAATTTAAAACTAAAATATGAAAATTAACTATTCGGAGGCCTAAACGAAGGAATTTGGTTAAAATCCTGAGATCTCGAGTTGTCCTGAGTCCAATTTCTCAGGCCGTTTCCAATCAATCTACCAAATTTCAGCCCATTCTGACTCCGTCGCGACAAATGACAAATTTGCCCCTGGTGCGATTTTTCTTTGTTAATTTTCTGTCCAACACTTCTTCAAACTATATCAATTAAACATAAATCATACAAACCCGACCTAGAACCGACCTGGTGGTTTGGTAAAAACTCAAACCCGCCCTAATTTCTTCCCCCTTTCTCACTCTCGCTCCCGCTCCCGCCACCATCTCGTTCTTGTATTCCCTGTCAATCTCTCTTCCTCGTTCTCTCAATATGAAGCGCAGACACCAGCCCTCAATTGTTTGAGAGAGGCTTAATTTCTGGGAGTCTTCTTCTCCATTATTTCAAGGTAGGCTTAATTGTTTTCTGTTTTTGATGCATAATCGGTTTACATTAGCTTGCTAGCATTTACATATGGCTCTTGTATAATACTTATGTGACTTTTAAATCAATGGATGTTTATGCTTTTGTAACTATTTTAGTGAAACCAATAGATGTCAATTTGTGTAAAGCCCGATTCTGTTGAAGTTATTATATTGAAGATGTTTATGCTTTTGTAACTATTACATATGGCTCTTGTATAATACTTATGTGACTTTTTTATGGGTTCTTATATTGAAGTTATTTGTAGTTCTTTTGCAATGTTCTAATTTGATATGGAATTGGAATTTTGGATTGACTGATTGTGTAGTAGTTTGAACAATAAGAGGATTCTTTATTTTTGATTTTTAATCCTTTTCCAATCGGGTTTAGTTTCTTTACAAATTCTTGTATATTTGTTGATATGCAGTAGAGACTAAGATAACTTCAAATTTTCATCTTCTGCAGCAGGCTCTTCTCAAGTCACTTCGAAATTTAGTAAATCTGCTATCATCAACGACTAAACGGTACCTCTCTATAATGGATCTATGAGCTCCTCATTCTGCAAACTGATTACATCTCATGTTCCTAAAATTATATTGTTACTATGCGTGTACTCCCTCCCTTCACATTGGTTTCTGCATTGTTACATTCTAGAGAGAGATTGCAAGAATGTTTTTGTGGAAAATCACAAAAATAAAGGCAGCTTAATCAGCTATATTTGTTGCTTATATAATTAAGTTGATTGTTATTTCCTTATTCAGTTCTGATTGTAAGTTGAAGACCTTCCTTTTGTATCCCTAACTTTGTTGTATATATTGAGGCATTGTATATCGAAGATAACATAAGAATAGGAATTATTTTCTAAAATATCCACTGGCGAAGTGTTTTTCCTTTGGTATCAAAAGAAGCCAAAATATCTTGGACTTGGGCTTTAATAGATGTTAGTGTCCGGATTTGTTATTTACCCATTTAGGGAGATTGGGTCGGTGATTTCTCTCTAATAAGTAGTGTCAATAATTGTTTTCTATATTATGGTAGTGCCTATTGATATGATACGATGAGATTGTTTCCAAATTTTTGTATTTCCTCATGTCTTACTTTGTATTGTAGCTGGTTCGCATTCTGCTGTGATGCTCTCTATCAAGCATGTGTAATCCTTGATGAATATTATTCTGTATTGATAGAGTTTAAACTTAGGGGTTTTTCTTCTTATTTTTGGCGGCCTTTAAATGTTAAAGGGTTTGAAGAGTGATTATGTGTGAATCTAAAATTATAGGGTTTAATTAGGGACTCAAACAGTCAATTGTCATTTTATAATTGGCTATTGAAATTTGAATTTGAAAAAATTCTTGTTGGCTTGTAAATGTCTTGATCAAGGTAAAAGTTTTTCTAGCTAACAGTTGAATTATTTTATCCAAGACACGATTCTTATTTTTTGAGGAGTAGATCAATCTCAGTGATCACTACTTAATGAAAAGTATTTTATATCTCTTTTGTGCCTTGAATTAATTATAGAATCGACTTTGTAGATTTCCTTTTCTTTCCTTGATTTACGAAGAATCTAGGCACGATTTTTGGTATAGCTTTCTTCACATGCTTCTATATATTTACCCTTTGAGTTTAGAACTTGGCCTTTATATCTCTGGCCTTTAAGCAATAATAGAACCACAACTGAAGTTTATAATTTGAATGTTCTAAAGGGAAGATGAATGTTTACAAAATTTCTTATTTAATCCATGCATGTACTACTACAATAATCACTTAATGAGGGGGTTTAAGTAATAAGCCGAAAATTCTATTCGAGATGATGCTGTTGCTCGAATTTGAGGTCCCGAGCGTCGTGGACGAGTAAGCGGACTTGGACTTGGGGTTACACCATCAAAAGTAAATGGAAATACACAAAGCAGTGAGTAAGTGAGAGAACTTGAGAGCAAATTATAAACTCAATCAGTAAGGATGGAACCACTCGAAGAAAAGGTTGAAGCACTTCTAAAGTTATCTCAGGTTATACTTTGCTATTACATATAATATGATAGCGTAACTTAATATATCTTAGCATTTCAATAAGTTTTAAATTTTTGTATTATTTTGCAGAATCAAAATAAGAATGTAGAGGGCATGAGTTCACGTGCTTTTACTCCACAAGTTTTTGTATCTTATATTATTTGTTCAATATAAATTCAGATTATATCATACTAGTTTTAAAAATATTTTTATTTTACTGCGAATTTGTAGTCCCAACAAGGAAGTAGTATGGAGGGAGGTATTGTACCAATGGAAAATGGAAAGTGTCAACTATTGCATTGGTACATGTTTGAGGAGGAAATTGTAGGCGAAGGGAAGATTGCATCAATAGACCCAAGTGCAAAGGTGCATCACGTGCCACTAGGACGAGATTGTTGGAAGGTTTGGGTTGACGAGGTGTACATGAGTCATTTGCCCTTATAGACCAACGGATGAATTTCGAGTTCTTAGTGACGCCATAGAAAGTACTGTTGCTTGGCCAAAGAGCTGTGTTAGACTTATTTGATGAAGGTACTTTATAAATTTCTACATTTTTTTTCATTTATGTATTTGTCATTAAACATGTTTCAAGAGTGGCTATATATGTATGCATACACAAGTATAGACAGGCTATGTAAAAAGTTGTATGAGTATAGTTGTGTCTCAAAAAGCTTTAAATGACATTGTATTGTTTCTTAATTGCTTGCCCGTTTTGATTAATTTGTTGTTATATTCTTTCTTCCTTGCAGTTACATGGAGCTAAAGTGAGTTCAATCTCTTTTGTGCTTGTGTCTTCTTGGATCTCGTCTACGTAAAAAGATTGGGTTGGGACTCGTTTGAAGCTTCGGTTATAAATCGTTTACATAACTTTTGGACACTTTTCATAGTTCTTTGGTTAGACGGTGTATATTTTTGAATTGGAGTATTTATTATGTTCCGATGAAGTAATATTGTATATTGGATTATGCTTATTGGCTTAAATGAAGAACTTTTAATTTTTTATTGTCTTAAAGTACTTGTGCGTAGATAGTAAATATGTTTTTAATTCACAGGTTTACGATGTAAGAAAAATGTGAAATAATTGATAAAATAAAAATAAAAAAGACATTTGTGACAAAAATTGGTTTCGGCAACATGCAATGAACGTTGCCAAAATACCTTTCGGCAACGTTCTTTGCACGTTGCCGAAAGGGTGTTTCGGCAACGTGCAAAAAATCAATTTTTAGCAACATGCAATGAACGTTGCCGAAACTCTTCGATATACGGCAATGTTGAGACCCACAACGGACGCTCGAACGTTGCGATAGGTCTACGGCAACGTTTTCTGCCCATTGCCAAAAGTGATTTTTGGTGTAGTGAATGTCACTTTTTATTAAAAAATAATATACATTAAAAAATGATATTTGTCACTAAAAAAAATGATAGAAATCAATAAGGTGATTGAAAAAAAAAAAGTGACAAATTTAAAAAAGCTACGTATTCAAAAAAAAAGTGACACAAATTAAAAAAAGTTACACAGATTAATAAAAGTGAGTGAAAATAAAAAGTGACAAACATTCAAAAAAATGATAAAAATTCTAAAAAGTGACACAAATTCAAAACAGTGACAGAAAATAAAAAGTAACAACCACCAAAAAAGTGATATTCTATTACTTAATTCTATTTTGGCGTTACCTCTTTTAACTTATTTATGGGCCATATTTCTTCACTAGTTAGGTGACATTTTTGTTATTATTTCGAAGTATTTACGACAAACTTTGAAATGCATTGTTTTAATTTCAAAATCGATAAACGACGAGTTCATAATAACAAGTCAAAAATGGCCACAAGAAATGGACGTACTAATTATGGTTTATTTCGCGTTCAATATTTCATGCGAGATAATTTTTGACATCTAGACTTTATCCATAACATATTTATCATGTTCTTATTACAAGCTTTCTAATAGATTTTGAATCGCTCATAATGGATAATCGTAGTGTAAAATACTATATCAAACGAAAAAAATTTAGTAATAAAAATTTTAAAAAATAAAAAATATCAGATCTGGAGTACGTCGGTTTGTCCCTCAAATGATTTTGTTTACATTCAAATGTTTTATGTTTTCAATTCAAACGATTTTGTTTACTTTCAAATGTTATATGTTTTTTCAATTGACGTAATTAATACGTTTATTAAAACTTTAATCTAATTTAAGTGGATTAATCAATTCATTCTTTTTTTTAGGGTACTGTGTCTAATTTCCTCATTAGAAATTTCATTGAAAGGTATTGCATTGAACAACATAAAACTATGGGTTAAGCTATTCCAATATCAGAATGCTATATAGATCTTTCAAGTTCCTTAAAATTTAGAAGTGTCGTTTTAATTAAATGATAATAATTGGGACTAAGGTCTACTGAAATGACTTAAATTAAATAGCTTACATAAATTTCCGTTGAGATTTTCATAATTGAAATGTTATATTAAAGGACATGAAGACCGTGTCTATTATTCTCTCTCTTGTGATTTAGCTTCCTGATCTCTCTTACGAAAGAGTCATGGAAAAAGTCAACTAAGTTATTACAATCATGCTACAGTGCCAGAATTATTAATATAATAGTTAACATAATACTACATTTCTATTATTGAACTGTTTAAAACACAGTTATCATTTCGATCCAATCATTTTCCATTACACAGGAATTCATCTGGCAAAGCAGCATAATCCGCGTTATTAACTCAGGCCGAATTATCAGTAGTACACGAAATAAAGCGCTCAAAAAAAGCAAGCCAAAAGGCATCAATTTAATAGTTCGTGGGTAGCGGTATTGAAACTGAGCACAAGCCCTCTTTGGCTTACTGCTTATCCATTTTGTCTTCCCAATTCCGTCGGCTAGAGGCATCGTCTTATCACTTGCATTTGTTGTTCATGCTGGAAATCAGGTTCCCTTTGTTGATTCATTTGCGAATAAAGTTTCGCACAAAAATTCATGCGTACCTATATATATACCATGATTTGATTAAATACTAAATCCGGTTCAAGTTTCCAAAAATATTCTAATTATAGAGGCAAAGGTAATTCTAGACATGGGAAGCCATGATTTTCTTGACGATATGAAGCAATTAAAGAAGGTAGAAATTCAAATGATTTGATCATGACACTCCATAGCAGCCCTTTGATCATGAATTACAAGGAAAAGGAAGATTGGGTATGGTAGTTGCTGGTTTAAATGAATATAGGGCATGCAAGGTTGTTTGCCTAGATGCAGGCCACACAGAGCATAATCTTTTGAATTCTTTGCCTCGCAATACGGCATGGCTCATATTGTACTGGTGATCGACACAATATCACACAAAAGTCTTCCTGTCCATTAAAACCATAAGATGCAAATGGTACACTACGATCCTGTCTTGAATTTACTCAATAAGGCATGTTTTGTTAAGAAAATAGAAACATGAGAAACAAAATTATGCATACAGCTTCATACTACAAATATATAGATATGATAATGATTGGAACCTCTATACTCAACCCATTAGATCATAAGGATTTAACTGAAGTTTTAATAAGGTAGAAGTCTTGAGTTCGAATTCTAGAGGATGTGACACAAACTCATGAGAGATAAGAGGATAGATATTCTACTGTTAGCTTTTTTCAGAACAAAGAAGAAGAAGAAACTAATTTTTCTATATATTATGTGACCTTATGTATGAAGATATATTAAACCATACCTTAGACCACCTAATCTATCAATTTCACCCATACTTTGACTTGACAAGGTACTACACTTTGGTGACAAAAATAACCTTCAATAATGTACAAAAATACATAATGGAAATGACAACAAAGTGACATTATATCAACACTCCTCCATGGCACTTTTGTTGGAAACACCAAGACATATCCTTAATGTTTCAAACTTATCCTTGGACAAAGATTTTGTGAGAACATCCGCATATTGATCTTCAGATTTGCAATGGACCAGCTTCACTTCACCATTTGCTTGTGCCTCTCGAATAGAATGATACTTGATCTTTATATGCTTTGTCCTACCATGATATATAGGATTCGTGATCATAGCCACAGCAGATTGATTACCACAGTTAATGACAGTAGCTTCCTCTTGCTTGTGACTCAAATCTGCCAACACTTTTCTTAGCCAAATTGCCTGATTTGTTGCTTCAGATGCAACTATATATTCTGCCTCTGCTGTAGATTGTGCAACCGTCTTTTGCTTCACTGAGTTCCAGCAGATGGGACTTGATCCCTGGTAGAATATATAGCCTGAAGTGCTCTTCATGTCATCACTTGATCCAGCCCAGTCACTATCAGAGTAACTTATTAAAACATAACTTTATGATCTCCTGAACCAGATTCCAAGATCAGTACACCCTCTGATATACCTTAGGACTCGTTTAGCCGCTTGAAAATGAAGATCACTGGGCTCTTGTCTGAATCTGGACAGCAGATTTACAACAAACGTGAGATCAGGCCGTGTAATGGTTAAATACAAAAGACATCCCACAAGACTTCTATACACCTTTTCATCACTCTTCTTGCTATCATCCTCCTTCATCAGCTTCAGATTTTGAACAATAGGACGGGCTTACATTTCTCCATACTAAACTTCTTCAGCACAGTCTCAGCATATCTCTCCTGGTTCACAAAAATCCCGTTTTGAGTTTGATAAATTTCCATGCTAAGGAAACAATTTGCAATCCCCAAATATGTTATCTCAAAGACTGTCATAATTTCATCCTTCAACTTGTCAACAGCCTCTTGATTGCTCCCAATTACCAGCAAGTCATCAACATACAAGGAAATGATGGTAGTTTCATCCTCCTTTTGCTTGAAGTAAAGTGTCTGTTCATTCACACTTTTAGTGAATCCAAGACTCATCAAATGATCATCAATCTTACTATACCAGGCTCTTGGAGCCTGCTTCAAGCCATACAAAACCTTCTTAAGTAGATAGACCTTGTTTTCTTCTCCAACAACAGCAAAACCATCCGGTTGTTCAACATGTATCTCCTCATTCAGCCAACCATTTAGAAAGGCAGACTTGACATCTAAATGATGAACTCTCCAGTCTCTTATAGCAGTAATTGCAAGTAATAATCTAATGGTTTCATACCTTGCAATAGGGGCAAATGTTTCAGAATAATCAACCCCATACTGTTGTTCATAGCCCTTCACAACAAGTCTGGCTTTGGCTTTATTAAATGATCCATCTGCATTCAACTTAGTCTTGAACACCCATTTTATACCAAGGACATGCTTATCTCTTGGTCTATCGGTTAGCTCCCAAGTTCCATTCTTATTGATCATTCTCAGTTCTTCTTCCATAGTAGCCATCCACACTTGAAAATTTATAGCCTCAGCAAAATTTGATGGTTCCAGTAATGCTATGTTGCAGTTGGCGCATATATCAACTAATGGCCTTGTTCTTAGCACTGGATTTTCTAAATCAGATCCACTCTCAGCCTCTAAATGATCAAGTTCAACCCCTACTTCATCATTGCCCATTTCATCTACTTCATTTGTGACCATTCTTGGCATCTGAGACTGATTTTCTTTGCTGGTCTCCGAGTTAAGTTTCCAATTCCAAGATGATCCTTCATCAACCTTGATATCCCTGCTGGACATCATCTTCTTTGATTGAGGATTATACACTTTATAGCCTTTTGCATTTTCACAATATCCAATCATGATACTTATATCAGCTTTCTTACTCAACTTGTCCCGCTTCGCATCTGGTATATGCACATAACAAAGGCTTCCAAATACCTTAAGGTGGGACACATCTGGTTTAACACCATTATAAGCTTCATAAGGTGTCATTTTATCCAATGATTTTGTTGGTAATCTGTTTAGTAAGTACACAGCTGTATTGACAGCTTCTGCCCAAAACTCTTTAGGGATGTTCTTCTCCAACAATAGACATCTAGCCATCTCCATAATTGTCCTATTTTTCTTTTCACAAACCCCATTTTGCTGAGGAGAATAAGGCACAGTTAGCTGGTGTTTAATTCCCATTTCATCACAAAATCTGTCAAATTGATTGCAACAATATTTAGTTCCATTATCAGATCTGATAGCTTTAATTTTTCTGTCACATTCATTTTCCACAAGCGTCTTAAACTTCTGAAATATACCAGCAACTTGTGACTTCATTTTCAAGAAGTAAACCCAACACATTCTGGTTTTATCATCAATAAAAAGGACAAAGTATCTACTTCCATTTAATGTTGGTACCCTCATTGAACCACACACATCTGAATGTATAAGATCAAGTTTATTTTCTGCTCTCCTAGCTGAGTTTTTGTCAAACGGCAGCCTTAATAATTTTCCCAATTGACAAGTATCACACACACATTCATCCTTACTGATCTTAGGCATATTTTTTACTAGCCCCAAATCATGCATTTGTTCAAGTGACTTGTAGTTAACATGCCCAAACCGTTTATGCCACAAAGGTAATTCATTCACAGTCCCAATGAGTGCCTGATTTTTCACATTTCTCAGTTCCAAAGGAAAGCTTATATGTCTCATATCCACTTTCATCACTTCTTGATTTAATGAATCAAGTATAGTACACATATTGTCTTTGAATATAAGCATATGGCCTTTCTCAATTAACTGGCAACACTTATCAGATTCTGATCAATTTTAGGGACAAAAAGAACATCTGAAATAAACTTGGTACTTGATGGAGTTTGCACAGAAATTTTGCCTACCCCTTTCACTTCCACATGTTCTCCATTTCCAACTTTTACACTGGACCTGTATGCATTATCTAGCTCAACAAAAATGCTTGAATCTGAGGTCATATGATGAGTACAACCACTGTCCAACAACTAAGATTCATTAGCATTTCCAATTTTTGAATTGATTGCTGAAAACAAATGCTCTTCTAGCTGCTGTGTTTGATCCTCTCCCAACCGTGCTTGCTGTTGGTTAGATTTTTCCTTTGAGTTTTTGCACACTTTTTGAATGTGACCAAATTGTTTACACCCCCTACATTGAATTCCAGGTCTATACCAACACCACTTAGGTGAATGACTAGATTTTTTGCAATGGGGACAAGGTGGATAATCCACCTTTTTATTAGTAACACTTCTACTGTCATTAGGTCTCCTTCTTCCAAGCAGGTTTTGCTTCACACCATAACTGGTTTGTGCCTTAAATTTTCCTTTAACAAATAAGGCTCTTTCTACCTGTTCCTCTTGCCTCATCAGACGTCTTTGTTCAGTGACTTGCAATGCATTAACAAGTTTAGCCACAGACATTGAAGACAGATCCCTTGAGTCCTCCAGTGACGAGATTTTAGCTTCGAACTTCTCAGGCAAGTTGATAAGAACCTTTTCCACAATTCTCTTGTCACTTAACTCATCTCCCAAGAGTCTTATTTGATTCACAACCTTCATTAATCTATCAGAATAATCTTTGACAGATTCAGTCTCCTTCATCTTCAGACTCTCAAACTCTCTTCTCAGGTTGAGCACTTTCATTTGTCTTGTTCTTGCATTTTCCCTAAACTCCTCTTGCAACCGATCCCAGGCCTCCTTTGCTGTCTCGCATGTGATGATTCTGGTGAAGATTGCATCAGAAACGGCGGATTGAATGCAAGACAAAGCTTTAAACTTTTTTGCTACCTCCTCACCATGCTGTTTCAACTGAGCAATGGTTGGATTAGCTCTCAATGGTGGAGGTTCTATTCCTGTTTCAGTTATCTCCCACAAGCCATAAGCCTTCAAGTATGCCTTCATTTTAGCAGCCCAAAAATCATAATTATCTCCTGTAAATGCAGCAGGCAATGGTGCTGAGAAACCACTTGAGGCCATCACTCTTGAATCTTCAAATTTACTTATCCGAGATATCACTGATTAGTTGAACCTTCAACTAGTTTTTTTTCTCCCTTCAAAGACCCTGAAGTGCTCTGATACCACTGTTAGCCTTTTTCAAAACAAAGAAGAAGAAGAAACTAATTTTTCTATATATTATGTGACCTTATGTATGAAGATATATTAAGCCATACCTTAGACCACCTAATCTATCAATTTCACCCATTCTTTGACTTGACAAGGTACTGCACTTTGGTGACAAAAATAACCTTCAATAATGTACAAAAATACATAATGGAAGTGACATTATATCAACATCTGCCAAAGCAAATTGTACTATGATATAACGACTTGAACATGAACTCTAATATTAGTAAATGATATGACAGTAAATTTCCCACTGAAAGCAGTTCAAAACAAATTGTTAGATTTACCCAAATGCGACAAAGAAAGTCACCATGGAACATATGTTTCAACTCCATTTTAACTGAAGGAAAATGGAGAAGACAAAGTATGGTAAAACGTTTCCAGTACATAATATGGTTGTAAATCAATATATTTTGGAGCTCTTAGATAAAATAAAGTAATGCGGAAACTAATTCTAAAACTTACTCCCATGGAAGATGAAAGAATAAGATGCAGACATTTTTTTTCCTGGAAACAAGAATTTTATTAACTATTGATGCGCTATACAGGCAAGATGGAATATCGAATACAATCGACCAAAACTTTATCAACTAGAGTACTAGACCCTCTGCAGCTATAGAAGCAAGTTTGAGAGCCACCTTATTCCCCTCTTGGGAGTAAAGTGACAAGTGCCACAAACCAATTCCACCTCAATGCTATAATTTCCTGAAACAATCAAAGAATTTGACTGAATTCAACCATTATATCTCGAGTGAAAGTCAGACCTTCTCTTAGTACGAGGGCCTCAGCATTTTCAGCAGCAAAAGGTTCTGATGTAGGCTGGAGAGATAAATTAACGGTAACTAAGAAGAAACTAAAAATATCCATCAATTTTTTATAAGAGTACTGGATACTTGACAGTCAAGACTCGTTCATTCGCACACGAATACCAAGAATTAATTCTTAGTCAACAAACCATTGATTCTTACGCAGAAATACTCATTTAGATCGAAAGACTGAGAAAATTCCGAAGTCCTAATTTTTATTCAATATTCAACCAAAAAAAACAAAAAAATCTGTTTCGTGGAAATTAAAATCAAGATTTTAGTCTAAGTCAAAGTTGACAATTAATTTCAATGCCATATTTAACGGGACCCATAACATTCAGTCACATATTTTATCAACTTTTATCAAAATCTACTAAAAATTTAGTTTTAATTTTCACCAAACAAAGGCTTAATGTCTTAGAACATCTTCAATAGAACTTCATTTTTAAAGAGTATATACAATTTAGAGAGCTTCTATAAATTTAGATAGTAAAATTTTTTAAGTACTCCAACAAACTCTTTGTATTTAACACTTAATTTTATTGCTGACTGAAAAATATTTTAGCAACTTTCTAGGCTTCATTAATTTCAAAATACATTTTTCTCTTTTTTTTATCAACCACACACTCTCTAATAAAATATATTATATGTAAACCCAAATTTTTTTTTCATTTTCCTGACGGGTGACTGCTAGAGGATGCAATATTTTCTCAATCACTCTTCATGAGCAATAGAGAGAATCAATGTTGGCACATTTGTAGTCTGTCTCTACACTTTCAAGGGTTTACAAATCACGTGAAATAGAATTCTTAATTGTAGGAAAAATACAAATGGTTCTGGCCCTCATCCAGATAAACTCTAAATAGCTAGGCTCATAAAAAAGTAAACAACACGTTACTTTTATTGAGGATATGTAAAACAATCTTACTACATGTATATCTTGACTTGCAGAATTTACATTTGGCAAGTTATCACACCATCTTTCACATCTTTAATCCAGCCATTAACAAATTGCCCCATAACTAATTTGTTAAGGGATATGTAAGGCAGAATGTACAAATAGCTTAAACTTATGTTAAAAAAAAATTTAAAAAAATGGATGAGAAAAGTTACCATATGACTAATTATTTTACTGAAATAAGAAAGGCAAAAAAAGTAGTTACCTCGAAATCAATGCATGCCACGTGTGGAAGAATTTGCATGCAATTGTTGTACGTGGAAGCAAGATTTAGCCACCTCGAACACAATTTCAACACGTAAAATACCATGCAACCTCCGAACTCACTATAAATAGTAATACCCTTCACCACCATTCCTCCACCAGAGATTGAATTTACAATGGTAAAGAAAATTACAAGTGTTGGTGCTATCCTCCTCTTGGCTCTCATGGCCTTGGACGAAGTCTTAGCCACCACCGTGACAACCACCGTGACCACCATCACAATCGATGAAGAGGAGAATCAACAATGCCAGAGAGAGATTCAGACACGCGGCTTCCCAAATTGCGAGATGTACCTGAAGCTCGAATTTGATAGAGCTGATGCCATAATAATGTTGCCCTATTCCAAAAAACATTATAAAAGACGTTGCTGTAGAAATGAGCTGAGCGGCATCGATAAGCAGTGCGTGTGCTTTGCTGTGAGGACTATGATGAAGAACATGATGGACAGTGGCCGCCTCAGCGCTGAGGATATGGAGGCTATGCTCGAGCTGGCAGGAGATCTTCCTACCGTGTGCAACTTACGAAAACACCCGTGCTGAATATTCAGGCCATTACTCGGTGGTTCATCAATGTAGAAATATGCACACCATCATGTACCGTGTATATTGCCTTGGAATAAAATCTCAGTCTGTCTTTTTCTAAGTTGCCTATCTATTTTTCCAATCCATAATCAATGGAGTTAACTAACTTATATGCATTGAACTAGGGCGAAGCCATACTTTTTGTATTGTAGGGGCAAAAATTAAGATGCAATTTTTCTTTAAAACAATATAACATTAATGGAAGATCAAATTTCTACAAAATGGAATAAAATCACATTAATGCTGTCAAAACTAATTTCCTCGTTTACTGTAGAAAACAAAATGTAATAAGATCACAAACACAAGTTGGTTCAACTTCACTATTTCTAAAGAAAAATTAAAGATAAACATATGGACAAAGAAAAGTTGCTCACGAAAACTCTTGAAAAATATAAACAACAGGGCTGGATTTGGGGATGACAATTGAGAGTCTCTCAAACACTACTGAAGCTATGCTCTTATCATTGCTATTCTTCAATGTGGAAGTATCATTGCTATTCTTTGATGTAGAAGTATCATTATATATTGCTATTCTTCGACGTGGAAGTACAAAACCCTACTCTGTTACCAAAGACTAAACTAGCCTCGCATACGATGTTGTTCTTCGCATTTTCTACGACCCAACTATCAAAATAGAGAGAGAGTTCAGATTCGTCATAAATTATAATACAGTTGTACGTGGAAGAGGATTTGTTAAACCCTAAAGAAGCGTGGAAACAAAAAAGAGAAGAAGAGAGTGAAAAAGGAGAGGGTACTTGCAGCTAGTAATGGCAGTTGAATAAGTCGGGATTTATGTTAGCTATAGACTGAATAGGAATGAAAAGGCCGGTCTTAGTTGCCCCTATCTTCAATAATTATTGTCACTAAAACTTATGAAGTTTTAACTCGTGCATTTTCATGAAGATTGGTCAAAAATGATGAGTTATTAATACATAATTCCAACTTTGACGACTAGCGTACTTTACCAATAGAAATACAAGAAAATAGTGAAATAAATACTTTAATATAATCAATATTTTACCTAATGTGAAACAATAGAAATAGAAAAATGTAAAATGTTACATCTTCTTTTTTTCTTTTTTTCTTTTTTTTCTTTTTTTAATGAATTGAGGGTTGAATATTGTATGTTGTTTTACATTTGACTGAATTGTGATGAATAATTCGTCTCTCGTAATTTAATGTGCTAAATTTGTCATTAAAGTATTCAGCATTGATTATAGTAACTATTTAATTGTTATTTAGGCACTAAATTTCAACAAATGAATTCTAAACATACACGTCTAGTCATAAATTGTTGATAACCATTTTGGTTCTGGTGACCTATAATGGATCTCAAAGAGTATGAAAGATCTTTCACTAAAATGTCTATAAAAAATGGGGAAATTAAATCAATTCATAAAGCTTCTCGAATTCGAGTAAAATGTTCACATCACGGTTTCAATTATAGAGTTCAATACCGCTCTTTGTTAATAAAATGACATGTTATTACTTCTTTACACGATCTAAACTTGTCTATAATTAAACAAGAAAATAATTTGAATTTAGATAATCACTAACTCTATTTGTTCTAATTTTATTGATCTTTTTGAATAAAGGAATGCTTGGACTAAAATTTGATTCTTAAGACATAGTATAAACTTTAATTTATAACGTATTTTCCTTTTAAGTAGCCGCATCAAAATTGGTACTATATGACCATGGTATCTAAACAAAGGTACAATTCCACGAGCTCGTCGCCTTTGCCTTTTAAGATAATTTTTGTAGAGGATAAAGAATATGAAGTCAATGCCAATGCTAATGCCAGACACCATATAGGTACTTATTCTTGGGAAATAAATAACCATGAGAGTTTTATGCATAAAGTGTTCTAAGTAAAGAAGGGGGTACTTCAAAAAAATGTAAAACTGGACTAGGACAAAAGAAATCTGTTGAAGTAAAGGTTACAACCCCATTCCAACTAGTGCAGGCTTGGGTTTGGGAGAGATTCCAACATATATGTCCCAAGCCCAATTGAACTAAGCTTGGTGGATCAAGATTGCCTCAATTTAATGGTGCAAAGGAAGTGGGAACGAAGAAATTAAAGTTTTATTGGCACTAGATGGTTCTAAAGAAGATCTAATTTAGCGCCCTTGTTAGACCATGCAATTTGGCATGGATCAATATCTTCCATATAGTGTAATGCGAGAGAATGGATGTGCTAAGATTGCTTGAGGTAATTACACCAGGGAAATTGGGAATGTCATATTGTACATACCAGCAAAACTTTTTGAGTAAGATGCTACCAGTCACGCTTGACATTGTGGGATAAATTTGGGTTTTTTAGAAGCCGTAGGCCTAAGGTTGTTCCAACGGAAGTGAAGAAGGCTTTGTCAAAATTAAATCTGAAGACGAAGAACTTCCTCCTCCTCCACCTGGTTTTCCTCCCAAGCATGCTAGGGTGGAGTTGAATTGATTAAAGGTGACAGCTGCTATGAAATATCTCTCTCCCTCAAGGTGAACTTTGCGAAATATATTTTAAAATTCATTTTTAGCGTTCTGTAATGTTTAATATTTGGATTGCAAATCCAGTTGTCAATCATTTATGCAGTTCCCATTGATGTGTTCTCTGTTTGGACATCCAGTTGTACATTTAAGTGTTAATTTTATTTCACATTATTTGCCGTCACCTAGCAGTAACAAGATACTTCCTGCCTGTGCATATATTTTTTCTATTATGACACATAACAAATTAGATTTTCCATATGTTTTGAAGCCCTGCATCATTCATGAGACTGGCGTGCCCAATTATTGCATTGAACAACATAAAACTACGGGTTAAGGCGTTAAGCTATTCTGATATCAGAATGCTAGAGAGATCTTTCAGGTTCCTTCAAATTTAGAAGTGTAGTTTTAATTAAATGATAATAATTGGAACTTAAGGTCTACTGAAATGAGTTAAACTAAATAGCTTACATAGATTTCTGTAAACATTTTCATAATCAAAATTTTATATTAAAGGACATGAAGACCGTGTCTATTATTCTCTCTCTTACAAAAGAGTCATGGAAGAAGTTAACTAAGTTATTACAATTATACTACAGTGCCAGAATTATTAACATAATAGTTGACATATCTTCACAACTCTATTATTGGACAGTTATCTTTTCTAAAATTATTTTCCGTTACACATGAATCTGTCACCATTCATTTGGCAAAGAGCATAATTTATGTTATTATCACACAGGCCGTATTATCAGTAGTACAAAAAATAAAGCACACAAAAAAAGCAAGCTAAAAGGCATCGATTTAATAGTTCGTGTGTAGCAGGATTGAAATTGAGCACAACCCCTTTCTGGCTTGCCGCTTATCCATTTTGTCTTCCCAATTCCGTTGGCTGGAGGCATCATCTTATCACTTGCATTCGTTGTTCATGCTGGAAATCAGGATCCCTTTGTTAATTCATTTGCGAATAAAGTTTCACACAAAATCATGCGTACCTATATACATACCATGATTTGATTCATTACTAAATCGGGTTCAAATTTTCAAAAATATTCTAATGACGAGGCAAAGCTAATTCTAGATATGGGAAGCCATGATTTTCTTGATGACATGAAGTAATTAAAGAAGGTAGAAATTAAAATTATTTTATCATGACACTCCATAGTGGTCGCCGATTTAAATGAATATAGGGTCTACAAGTTTGTTTGCCTAGATGCAAGCTACACAGAGTAGAATCTTTTGAATTCTTTGACTTAGAATATTAGCACAAGGTCCCTATAAAATAGCAAGTAAAATACGTACATAACATAATTTTCTAGTGAAATGGAAACCTGATCGAGTCATTCTCACTGAGGTCATATCCATTCTCAATCTCAATTTAGGGCATTTAGCCATATGGCTGGTTTTCGTATAGATCTACATATTACCCTATATCATTATCCGCAAGATCCTTATTTAATTTGGATCACATAATAGCACATAAAATATTTAACTTCAAAAATTAAAAAGTAAAAACATAAAATCACTTGGCATTTAAAAAAATCAATACCATATTCGTTAAATTTCTTGTGTATTGAGCTAATTATGACTGAAAATTCTTGCGAACAGATCTTGAACATACCAATTTTTTTTGTCTTTTCCTTCCCTTTCATTCTTTTCTCACTCTTTCTTCCCTTTCTTTTTTTCCTCTCTCTCTATTCTTTATCTCTGAATTTGTGAGAATTAAAACACAACAACAAGAGGGTATTTATAGGTGTGATTAGATAAGAATAGTTAATGAGTTAGAATTTTAATAGGACTTTTAATTCAGATTTAGATTGATCTTTCGACAAATAAGCTCATCATGAAATTTGAATTTAAGAAAACTCTAACTACATGGGGATAAAATTCGAGTGTGGATATATGCAAATTTCAAGTTTTACGTACATACTTTTATATCAAATGATTCAATAATAGTTTAATAGATATCCAAAATATTAT